TGCATGCAGCGAAAATTACAGAGTTACTCAGTAAAATTGGAAAACCATATGGTAAATCGTTCATTTGCAAAATAACAGTTCATCCTATAGAACTGGACTGTTCCTGTTGCAAAACATCAATCCATTGTGACTATTCATGCGTTTCATACAAATTCCATTGTTTTCTAACTCTTCCTTTCTTGATCTTCCCCCCATCTTCGGCTGCCGGACATCACGTTGACACGTCATATGCTACTTATAAGTAGCTCGCACCACAGCACCACAATAGTTATGAATAATTCCAGGATTTTTTTACACATTGATTTTTTGTGGTGACCTAAATGACTAAAAAAAAGTTGATAGGACTAGTTAACGTGAAAAAAACTTAAAATCTCAACTATATATATATATATATATATATATATATATATCACTAGATAAAACCAGTCCTCAACTGACTGAATACATAATTAGAGTGTTAAGCTGTTTCTTTAATACAAAATGTCTAACCAAGTTAAAAAGACATATTACATAACAAATGAATAAATAAGAATAAAACCAAAATAGAATCAAAAAACCTTCATTTCTGGCTATAATAGCATAAATAACCTTGAAACGAATGCAATCATATTTGAAAACCTATCTATTATAAATAATAAGGAATACTTCCGTAGAAAGGAAATAGACATTGTTTTTCAGAATATAAAAATATTATTATTTCATTTCTTCATAAGAAGTCGAATATACATAAAACATAAATTTACAGAACCATTGATTACGAGATTATCGATCGGGTGATAAATAAGTGATCTATGAATAACGAATACCATTTATTTTTGAGGATATTGAGTGTTCTGAAAAATTGCTGCTTCCTAATATATAACCTAAACTCTACATGAGATTCCTACATAACATAAAAAGCATGTTAAATATTAAGCATTTATAGGTCAATTTTCAAACTTGATTTATTTCCCATAAAACTAAACAAACGGCTTTAAAGTTTAGACTTTAGTTACAAATATATCTACTATTTCCCCCTTGATAGATTAAAAAAATCATTGTAATGTCTTGAAATCTAGATGTATTATGATTTCTGCCGACCGTTTTGAGTGATTATTTTACTAGGTTATGATTCTTTAAGAAATCTATCCTTTTTTTAATCTGTCGGATTAAAATTTCTTTTGGTGCATGACTATGAAGTATGGTCCTCTAAGATTAATCATATTAGTTGATTATTCCGATCTACGAAATAAATATAAGTCATTTCATTTTGTGTACTAATGTCATTGTTGATAACAATCATCCTGAGGATGTCACGGACATTCAGAGTTTGACAAAGCTTCAGTCCGCAACATCTTTCAGATTAAGGATACTCAAAGCGAAGTCAAACTAGAAGTTAGGTATGAGAAGGATAGAAAGTATATTCAAATGATGGCTGTGATATCGAAAAGTGAGTGAACTAAGCTAGCTAGTCGACCCGAGGGGATGACTGACGGAGCGCCCTCAACTACGGTGTGTTCAGTAAAACTAATAAGGTCAATAACAATTTTGAAGACTTACAGAACGATTTATTTTTTGCATTTATTTACCGTCGCAATCTTAGTACAAGTAATCGATTGAGATACAAAAGAAAAGATTAAAGTACAGTTCAGTAAAATATATTTCAAAAACATACGACCATAAATTTCTTGCTTTTGGTAGTTTTAAATTCAATTTCTTAAATTGTATATTTCTTACAATGTATGGGTTGGATTGTTATGCCAAAAAAAGAAAAAAACTTGGTCAAAGTGGTTTAGATCTTGTGGCTGAAAAAACATTCAATGTATCAAACCACTGACTGATAAGATTTCGAAAGGTGGAGAATGTGTAATGGAGAAAAGCCAAATATAGTTCGGTTAAATCTGTAGTTAGATTTTGCAGTAACTAGTCAGAGAGTCATGAAGGATTAATAATTCAATGCTTGCTCATTAGGATCTTTAAAAATTGCATGAATGATATCAATAAAAAACTTTTCACAAAAACCTATTCACTATTTATAAATGATATACATACTAATCTTATGTCTCCTTATCGTCTGAGACTGCATCTCAGACTATTTGACATGCTCAAACTACGTATATAGGAACCTAATTTTGAGAAAATTCCTGTCGCCTTCAGTGTTAAGCGTATATTCACAGAAGCCACTTATTTTGACTTCTTTTTACCATAATAAACGGCAACTTGAATATGAAAATGTTAAACATCTACAGAAACTAAGTTACTTTCTGATTGAGATTGTATATTACTTATTCACTAAAATTTATCTAGAAGTTATCTTCCGAACCATATGTTACATTAATATTCAGTCAATTTTTATATCTTCATAAGCATCTAGACATCGCAACAAACATAACATAAAATAATAATTTGTTACAGTAACGAACACAGTCATTTCAACAATAAAGGCCAGTAGAAGCCCAGGTTGCATCTTTGATGATCAAGTATACAATGGATGTCATTTTATGAAGACTGACTAATATAGAAGAAATTTTCTATTTTAAAAGCTTAAAACTAAGAAATGAAACTATTTTTCTTAAATGATTTAAGGACTTTCCGATTTCATTTCAATGAATTAACACAACGATATGAACTTACATGTTTACTTTTTCACTACCTTTTTATTCACTTTTGTGAAAGTCGTAAATAAACTACAGTAGTTTGTTTTTGTATATTACTGACCAAAGCCAAATAAAAACATGATGACAAAACTAATATTAACGACGAACATATGTATTTTTAGATAAATGGACAGATTAAGTTATCAAATGAGTTCAAAATATGGTAAAAGTTAGAGGAGACTGTCGTTGAATGAAAGATAGAATTAGTAGGGAGTGATGATGAATATGGTAATTTCTTACTCTTTTATAGATGTATAAAACAGCTTAATTATATTCGAAACATCTCCAGGGACATTAAAAAACCCAATTTAAAAATCTTTTTAAAGGAATTTATTTCATACTACCTTTTTATATTTTAAGTAGGCAGTTAGTGCATGCATTAATTATTACACATCGTATGCTGAATTTGCTATTCAGAGACAAAGTAGACTTTTGAGAAAATGAACAAAGCTTTGGAAGCAAAACAGGATTTCATATACCTACAGTTTCACTGATTTTTAGAAACTTTGTTGCCTGAAGCCTTTTATATGTATATATGGTATGATAATTAGGTACATTAGAAACGATCTTGGACGGTATTAAGTAAACTGAATGAGAATCAAAAAAAGTCTATTTGCCTTAGAGTATAACTTGATTTCGTCTTATCTAGATTCCTAATAAATTTTATTCAATTAGCATTATTTGAATGGAGAATATGATGCATATTTTTTATCTAATTTTTAGTTTTAACACGTATAATTATAAAATTAAGAAATCTAGTTGCAGAAATATCAAATACAAAAAATTTATGACGAGCAACAACATTTTATGTCCAAAACATTTAAATTATGTGTTGTCTTGGATTAATAATCATTGGGCAAACATCAAAAATCGTGGAATACATTTTTGTTTGATTCCCAAATTTCCGGTTCGCTTGTGTTCGTTATTTACTAGCGGGCTCAGTTTAGGAAGATATGGATTTCTTGATAGAATCGATATCTTTAAGTACGTAAAGTTAGTTTTTGTAACCGATTCTATCTAAGTACTGGGTAAAGGTATATACTAGCTAGGTATTAAAAAATCAAGAGAGACTATTTCATGGCTGTTTAGTAGATATGTTCAAATTCTGCAATTTATCGTCTTTGTTACTAGTAGTATATACAATTTTTAATTTCAGTTATCAACAAATTCAGTGAGAATCACCGTAATCAGTGACATGTTGTCAGTGTAAACCGTTCAAATCTCGTTTTTACTTGCCAACCATTTTCAATTCCTAGTGAAATGACATCTTACAAAGTTTAAGATCTCTTGTCATAAGCCTTTGAATCTGGCACTAGAAAAAACGAAATCTGTAAAATTTTGAAAATAAATGATGAAATCCTGGTGCACCATGTTTTTCAATAAAAGGAAAAAGCTGCATCATGAGATAGGTCGAACCTGATTTACTGTGTATCATAGTTGAATCTTACGTCTAAACAATGAGACAGTCACAGCTTTCTTGTGAAAAATATCTGTATCACTATGCTGGTCTCAACTATTAGTCATCTAATTATCAAGTCGTTCACAGCGTGAATTCACACAGATACATTTCTATTAACATACTAGTTTTCATTAATCAACATGCCCAGATTTTGTTATCATCAATTCTGATGCTAAACTAAATAATCGTTTTTTCAGAGATGTTTTCTTAGAATAAATTTGCTTTTTTTGTTATAAATTTTTATTGAATTTTTTTGATTAGAAATCAAATTATATTTTGATATATTTAAGTAATATAAATGAAAATACTGCTCTACTGCATTAGAGTTCAATATTTCTTAAATGAATTTATATAACTTAATCATTCACTATTTCTCCTAGTGTGTTTAATTTAATTTCATTCATACTCAATAGCCTTTTCATGTTCATCTCATCCTATCATAATAAATATCTGTTAGTTTAACCACCCACTGTGTCGAAATTTCCATTCAATTCATCAACCAATCAGATATCTTCTAGGCTAAGTGTAACCTAAAATTTGATGACGAATGACAACAGTGATGAAGTAGGTTTGTTTTCCCATTTCACATTTATGTAAATTAATTTTTTTTTCTAACTATTTAGTGAAAGTTCTTATATTACTTTTCATTTCCTTTCCTTTTCTACTGTGTTTTATTTAACACAGAAAGCAAATTATTAACTTGCAATTAGCACAAATTATCCTCAATTGTACCGATCACTAGGATGTTCATTGCATCAGGTCATCATTATTGTCAATAGAAGAAGCATCCACATAACGCATCGTTAATATAAATCAAAATTATTACAGTCATACTGACGGTAAAACTTTCCTGTGAAATTAATATTACTTAAAACAATAACTCATGCTTTCTTTTGGGATAATCAGTTTGATAACATTTTCCTTCAACAACATTTGTATTAATGCAAACAATTTAAATCTTCATTCCGATATAACTCAAAAGCATTATACTGAAGAAAAAGATTCAAACATTAAGGTAATTTATGAAGCGCCAAGATCTCTATGTTATGCTAAAGGTCAAGCTATTGAATGTTCACCACCGTTTACAAATATTGCTGAAAGTGTTGATATTAAAGCAACTTCAACTTGTGGTCAGTTCGATAAGTCAGAAGAAGTATGTAGATATGTTATGGGGAATAAAAAATGTGAGATATGTCATACAGGTGAGGAATTCGGAACACACTTACTAACTGATCGACATCAAATGAATAATGAAACCTGTTGGATTTCAGGATCTGTTTTACCAGGTGATACAGTAAATTTAACTTTATCATTGGGTAAACGTTTTGAAGTTTATTATATCTCTTTGCAACCTTGCGGTCAATTACCTGATTCAATTGCTTTGTACAAGTCATCTGATTTCGGTGTAACATGGAAACCGTGGCAGTATTTTTCAACTGACTGTTATCGAGCTTTTCGTTTGCCTACAAGTAATGAGCACAATGCACAAATCTCTTTAGCAAATATACAAGAAGTTTTATGCGTTGCATTGAAGTTACCGGATACACATGATAATTCAGGGCAATCGTCAAATGTTATTGCATTTAGCACAACCATTGGACGACCATCGGCGCAACCGTGGAGTTCGGCGTTAATCGACTGGATGACTATGACAGATTTAAGAATAAGTCTCATGCGGTTCCCAGAACATCGAGATGAAGTTCAATATGATTCAAGCGAATTGTTTTTAAACCCAAATCTTCCGAAACCATCAAATGTATTTCGTGTTAGTGGCAGTCCTGTTATTGGTGGTTTCGGTATAAATCCTGTATTGTCTGAGGCAGGTGCACTGGATATGTCACAACATCTATATCAATCTGATATGCATTATTCGAAAACACTGAAGAGTAAAACACCAATTCATTTTTCTTTCTCTGATTTATCTATCGGTGGTCGGTGTAAGTGTAATGGACATGCTAACCGTTGTATCAGAGATCGGATAGTTGGTACATCATCAACTCCAGATAATAATGGTCAAACAAAATCCCAATGGGGGCCACTTAGATGTGATTGTCAACATAATACAGAAGGAGCTGACTGTGAACGTTGTTCGCCTGGTTACCTAGATAGACCATGGGCAAGAGGTACTTCTGAATCGGCTAATGAATGTAAACGTAAGTTTTGAAAAGTAACCGGATTAATATAATCCTTTTTTTAATGAAAATCATTCAGAATATATCTTAAAACAGAGTCGAGTAATTATTCAGTTTATCCATTTCGATGAGTATAATCTTCTAAGTGCTTTAGCCGATAGAAAAGCGCATATTAGTGTCATATACAAAACTGAATTTTACCTTCTAGCTTGTAAATATTTCTAGACATAATCAGAATCGGTAATTAGATAAAGACTAGACCAAATTTTATTTACAGACTAAATTTTCTATTCGGAATTGATGATTGAGTGTACAAAGGAAAAGCTTTATCCACTACAGGCTTTAATTTAACATTTTGGCATTTTGTCGCTTTCAATGATTTTTTCCAACTACAATCATTCTCTCTATATGTGACCAGAATCGGCTAAATTTCAGACACCATCGTTTTGTTCAAGGTTTGATAATTTTTCAGACCTAAAATGGAGATTCATTTTTATCAACAGATTATTGCGTATGCTATTATGCGACTTAAAGTACCATGTTTGTATAACTGATAAGGCATTGGGATTGCACTGCAGTATTTCGATGGAGAACCCGAAATGACCGATATGCGAATCATTCAATTCTAAATCACTATGCAATACTTGAATTCCCTAGATTAGGTCTTCAGTAAGATAAGAAGTGCATGATTTTGGGGAGTCTACGCGAGAAACAAAACAACTTTCAAATGATTTTCAAATATTCTTTATGTGATATTAGTTTGATATTACGGTGAATTTCAAGTGCTGAAGTCAGCTTTAGAAGAAGTACCACTCATTTACTTTGGACGATGACTGAATTACAATACAAACAAAAGGATATATTAAAAAAGTTAACCATCACATGTTAATATATATATATATATATATATATATATATATATATACTCTTTTAAGTTTATCAAGAAATCAGTTTGAAAACTTTTGTTTTGTGTTTCTCTTACTTTTGGAATTTTCTCTGCATTACATGTGGATACTATTTCAATCCTTTGAAATATTCTACCAAAATTAAATTTCTAAACGATATATATATATATATATATATATATATATATATATATATAAGGCTCAATAAATATATCAAGCTATTTAGCATTTTGTATTATTCTTAACAATAACTGACTAAATAATCTCTAAAACCTATCCTTCATTCATACTTATGCTACTTATTTTCGAAAATAAAATAATCTTTTATTTCATTCTATCTTATATCCGTTTGTATGATATAGAAACTTTGTAATCCATTACTTCTCAATCATATCTTTCAGATCGTTTCCTCTTGAAACATAATCTAAACATGTTTTTTTGCAAGATATAACTTATTCGAAATAAATAATGTCGCTAAATTTGTATTGATTTGTCTTCTGCGACACACGATTATTAGAACAGATTTCCCTATGAATTTTCGATGGGAAAATATTTATGGATAAACAAAACATTGAAGATTTTCGTTGGAATACTTGAGAATTTGCTAAATTAGAAATGGGAATAGGTAGATACTGGGAGTGATGTATAAACAAGGAAGCATTCGAACTCATTTATTGATTATGCATACATGCCCAACACATGATTTTCAACTTAGTTAACCGTTGTCTCACAGGTTCTTTTTATAGATTATGTGGTGAATCATGTGAATAACGTCGATGTAAATTTTCTTTCGAATTCGCTTACACAAAGTGATTCATCATTGGACTTTGATATATCTGTACCACTTTAAAGTGTCATATTCTAATGATGGAAGGAATCAATTTAAGAGACAGTTGACAATATTAAGGCAGTTTTGCTGTTTATCATCAGCTGAGGGGCCGTTAAGAACTAGATAGTACAAAATGATCGGTTCATCATATTTTGAATGCGTAACCGCCAAGAAACTAAAGTTACATTATATTGACTGAAAGAGTTCAGCCAATCAAAAATAAAACTAGTGGTAGTTTCTAATTATTGAGTTATGATAACAATGACTATTTTGAATTTTAAATTAATTTTCAGCATACCATAAAATCTAAGATCAATGAAGGCAAAAACCTATTTATTACCAGAGGTTTAAGATGTAGTTAACTCGTTTCACAGTTTAGATTTTATTTAACGAGTTTGGGCAGAAGATAGCTGACACAGACAGTCTAACTTTTTTGCATGTATTTCTTTACTCCTTGATTCTATTAATTCTTGTTACAAACTTATAAAAGTAATATTATTATTCATTCTCCTCAGTTTCACTGCGTATTATTCTCTTCAGACTAATATACTTATCTCTGCAATCAACGCATACATACATATTTTTACCTAAAAAGTATGACCAGAAAGCCTGAGAATATTTTACACTTTATAATTCAAAAGTATGTTGATAAAATTGTAAATAAGCTTGCCAGTTCGACTTATGATCAAACTTATTTCCTACTTTATTTGCACCTTCACTATTAACATTTACTTTCACTGTCCTATTTTCATCTCCTATTTCCAGATAATGGATTTTATTATTTATGTACTGGAGAAAAATCAAAAATAGTTTTTTCAAAATACCTAAATTTAAAAAAAAATCCACACCAAATATTTCGTCGTTTAATCGTTTGCATCACTTTTTTTAATTTTAATGTGTATCACATAATACACGATAAACTAGCTTACTGTCTGTAGAAAAATAATTTTTTTTAAATTTTCCCATTATCTTCGCATAAGTAATTAATAATTTTTGATTGTACATTTAATATGTTTGCTATCTGAAAAGGGATAGTGTATTAAGCGAAAGAAAAAAACAATCTTTCGAATCATTAATATTTCTGATTGCTCATCTTGATACGGAGAAAGTTACCAAAAGATATATATTGTCTAGTCTATGGGGATGTGTTGTCGGTAAAATGTAATGAGTTTTTCCACAGAAAATCACTTATACAAATAGCTTATTGTTAGGCTATGAAAAGAACTCTTTATATATATATATATATATATATATATATATATATATATATATATATATATATATGGGACAAAATGTAGACAAAATTTTGAAGCGACAAGTGGAACGAAAATACTTTCATACCTGTCAATAATATGATTGTCCTATGTGAGAAAAATAGTGTTTAAAAATATGAATTTCGGTTAAAATTAACGTTGACAATTCAACATAGTAGCTTGAATAAAATAATTTGAAAATGATTAATAAAATACGTTTTTTTCTGTTCTATTCATCTTTTTTTCTAAACGTGTAAATGGAACTTTTCGCATTGTTAAGATCAGATGCAAGCTCCTAACCATTTGGGAATTAAGGAAATGCTATTTATGGTATATGAATAGTTTGCCAGTTGAAATGCTTAAGGGTAGAAAATTTTATTTGGCTGCTTATGGAATGTTAATCTATGAACATTTTTATCCACTGATATAACTTAGTTTACAATTTATGCTTACTACATTTTCGTTTTATCGAGCACATAAGTTTTGTGAATTATATAAAATATTCTTGTTGAGTAGATGTCAATATTAGTTTGTAAAAGATTACTAACAGTTGTGAACATTGATAGAGAGTAAAATAGGAAATTTACGTGAGATTGATCACATACAGTTAGGATTGCAGAACACTGTTCTTTTCGCCCAGCAGCTTCATTAAATCAGATTGTACTGAAAACGACTGATAAGCACACTTCTTGTTCTATTGTAATGATTCAACTTAAGGCTTTTGAATGTTTTTGTGTGTTTAAACAGCCTTCTTATACTTTATTTTGTATTCAACAGTTCACTGTGATATTTACCAATGATTATGTAGTAGTTTTAGTCATAGAAATTGGTCCTACATTTGCCAATAAAATATTTCTATCAGTTTGTTTGATAATTAATAATTTCACATTACAGTAACATTAAAATTGTGAAGCAAATTTTAAACAACTCATCAAATTGAATAACATGATTAGAAACGGAACTTTTACAAATCAAGGTTTTTTTACATTTTTATAATAGGTGACTGTAAAGAAAGGAAATGAAATAGCTTCATTCAGTTAATGTTATTTGGATGATATGATTTAAATTTATCAGTCTTCTTGAAAGCCCTGTTGTACAAATGAACTTTCCTGAATCTAATCTTATGATACGAAAATAAACTACCTGTTAAACAATCTTAGACAATTGAAGTCTTGGCTTTCTCTACCAACCATATTTTGACTAGATTTTAAGTGTAACAATAACCTAGTTGGAAGCGCTTGCTTTTGATATAGTCTGAACGAAAGTGTCTGTAGTTAGCTGTTCATTAATATGAAAATAAGTAATTTAAAAGTTATTTCTAGATTATTTGCATTCCGAGTTTTTATTTTTAATCGATGTCTCCTCGACCGAACGTTTAGTTTTTTTCCTATCCAGCTTAACGTTTATGCAGAAGTCTACTAATTTAAAACATATACATAGAATAACATACTATTTAGGTTGCTATTCTTCATTTGATTCTTATCTATTGGCCTAACATAGGGAACAGAAAACTATAATTATAAACTCTAGATAAGCAGACGCATTAATAATTCACTTTAGAATTACCATATAAATTAATAGTTACTGAAACCAACTTTGAGTTCTTCGGTTCTCAAGTACACAGATAGGCATGAGAAGAAGTTTAAATAAATCAATAATATTTGTCTGAAGAACTGAGAAACTAGCAGTTATATGAAACGCAATCGGAACTATGTGTAAGAATTCCAAGATGATATAAGGCAGCTCCATGTTCGGACATTGTTGAATAGTTAGTTTGTTCCACTTCTTTATCAGTATACACTTTATATTTACAGCTGGTGACACAGTTAATCGAACAGTCTTCACAAACTATTTCTGATGAAGATGGACAGCTTATAATTTGGAACATAGATTTGAACACGAACTTACTAAATTATCATATGTGCTGAACTCTACTAAACAGTCGAATCAATCAGATTTCTGTTAGTAACTATGAGTTTTTAACTTGAAACTGAAATTGAAATAACTTGTAGAATATGTCTTTGTAGTATGCTT